ACGAAAAATCCTACGAAACTGATATTATATATTTAATATGCCTTAGACGTGACAGTAACTTTTTCTATTTTTACAATTTTCTCAAAAACGGCTCCAACGATTTTGAGAACTGGGTGTATCATTGTATAATTAAGTGGTCTTTAATATCATTTAGGTCTTATCTCCATTGATGTCATTTTACATTTTATAAATGACCAATGGTCATATACGTCTTCCTCTAAAGTGCCTTTAATATGGTTTATTTAAAAAAAATTAACTCTTTTATTGACAGTAACTATAAAAAAAATGGCTAAATATGAAGTTGAAAAAATATGATAACTGTAGACTGGAGAAGAAAAGAAAATGCTTATCCAGGTTGAAAATGAATCTCCGGAAATAAGTCAGAAGGTATACCTATAATATATCGTTGTAAAGCGGAGAGTTTTAGAAAAAATAATATCAAATAAAGAAAGTTGTAGAAGGTAATGGAGAGTGGCCAAAACAATATAAATAATAATTTCAAATTAACATTATTTAACGTAAATCACATGTTTCCAAGAAAATTAAATGAAATTTTCTTACTAAATGTAAACTTTAAAATTTTTTTTTAACTTTGAAAAAAAAGACTTGAAATCCACCGAATCAAGCCAATGCCATTGTTTAAAATACTATTTCATTGTACTTGTGTGAAAGAAGAAGTGAAATATTTCGTGGATATGTTTATAACCTTAAATACATTTACTGTAGTTTATAACTCTAGATATGACATTATATTTAAATAATTAGGTATTTATTGACGTTTATTCCAAAAAATCATCTAATATTCTTTTAGAAAATTAAATTGGTGAATAATTTGATGAATTTTCCCTTTGTCAATCTATTGCTTTTGCTTGACTATTTTATCTCAACAAACGAAATTTATATCGATTTATTGATCACAAAAAATAGCAAAGAAGTAGAAACATCTTTCTTGCGTAGGAAGGGCAGAAATCTGGAAAACATGAAGGTAACAGATGGAGTGGAAATCAGGTGATATGTTCTAGCATCGGTAACTGGATACGTGACCCGAAAGTTCAATGCAGTTTGGATGGAATTGATTGGGCCGACGGCAACTCCCTCTAGTAACCGTCCCCATTAATATTGTTGATGAATTGGATCAAGTCAGCAGTGGGGCGGTTGTTGAGGAAAAGATTATAGCGGTTCTTATAACCTCGGGGGCGAGAATCATAGGCAATTACCAGCTGTAATAATACGCAGCACGTGTTTCAGAATGGAATGAATTAATCTCTTGATTGATTGATCAATCATTGCAATATAGTTTCCTATTGGAATGATTGGCATTTTTTTTTTTTTTTTTAAGTAAATCATACTTTTTGATGAATAGGAAGTCATAACTGAAGAAATATTTAATTTCTTTTTATTTATTTATATGATATTTACAACTGTATAAAAAAAATTCATCTAGTAAATTCGCTCTTAGATATAATGACATGAAACACATGTTGAGAAACTACCCATTGGTAGCACTCTAATAAAATGTCTATATTAGGAGATCACGTGGCCATCTTTTTTTCAGACGCCTCGGAGGGTTATCACGAATTGAATAGGAAGCAAGGGTAGAAACGAGAGGGTTGGGATGGTTATGAAGTTTTTTTTGGAAGGATAGGTGTCTGGATTAGGCCAGATCTGAAACATAAGAAACATTGAGGATTTTACGAAGGATTTTGGATTGTAAGGATTGGATACGAGAGGAATTTGAAGGTTTGGTGGAGTCCCATAGCTGAACTCCGTTAATTCAAATAGGTCTTATTATAGTCATGTATATGAGTCTTTTGTAATTAATTGGAAGTTTAGAGTGTTTGTCTAGGGGGGGCGGGGTAGCCGAATGGGCTAAAGCGTGTGCACTGCACCACGAGTTGCCTGGCAACCCGATAAGAGATTTAAGAAGATTAAAAAGTATGAGTTCGCATCCCGGTGCCGGAGGGGATTTTAAATTCCCCGCCCTCACCCTCCGGCCCAGGAAAATCCCGTATAGCCTTAAAGGCGAGGTAGGGAAGAAAAAAAAAAAAAACGTTTGTCTAGTAAGTGTTGAAGTAGTCGGAAACCTCGAACTGTTTCTTGTCGTTTAAGTCTGGTATGAGGATTCCAAGTTAGACGTTTGTCCAGGTGGAGTCCTAGATATTTAATTTAAGTAATTAACAATTATTTCACTGTAAACTGGATAAAATTTTCTTCAAATCAAACCAGAATTTGTCATTGTTAAAACCATTTAAATACAGGACATTTGAGCGGATAAATTTGGCTAAGTTCTGTTTGTAAAATATCATAAATTATTGGAGATTCTTTTTTGTCATTTTTCAACTATACTACAGATCGAATTTACATACTTTTTTATTTCTGACTGTTCAGTCTTCTCTCTACAAAGGTACTCTCTCTACATCCTGCAACTATCTCTTCTTACGATGTCCTCTTTTCCTTCTCTCTTTCGGGCAGTAGTCGAGGACTGCTTTTGGCCACCGTTCTAGCATTCTTTGTAAAGAGCCATATGATTTCAGCCTTTTTATTTCAATATAATAATAATAAGCTTTATTGACATCAATAGATTTGACAAAAGCCTCTCCCTTAGGGAGGAGTTTTTTTGAGTAAGCTATATCATAAAAGAGTGAGTACATATTACCACTTTTTAAAACATGTAAAATAAAACAGATCATATCAGATCCCATATAATAGTAAATAAAAAAAAAACTCCAAAAACACACGGAATAATAAAACAAAATAAAACGGCTCAACTAAATATTATCCCTAACCATAAGCCACCAGGTATCGCCTACATGTTCATCCCGCCACCTCAGATGCGACCGGCTTCTTTTCATGCTGTTCTCTTGGGATCCATTTGGTGCATGCCTACTTGGACCATCTTTCCTCTTTGAACCATTCACTTTAACCGATGAACTTTCAAGCTTTTAATATTTACTTCACGTAGAATTTCAATATTATAGAGGAACGTTTTTTTCTTTTTGTAATGGTAATATTTAGAATATACTGAAATCTGCCAATACTGACTATTCCTGCAGAATAGGGATGGGTCGTTTCAGATTTTTAGTGTACCTGTTCCATTCCCCAAATGGAACTGTTCCAAATTATCGATACCGTTCCAATGCCGTTACCCCAGAATCCACAATCTAGGCATGGGCGATAGTTGATAGTTATCACTATTCATAATTCTATACTATCGATAAAAAACTATCTATAGTATCTATAGTTTAGTAACTCCGCCACAAATTTAAGAAAGATTTATTTTCGCTCTATTCTTTCTTCAGTTACTATAAAGTGCTGCACAAGCTTCAATTAATTTAAGATAAAAAAGTAAAATATAACATGTATGTGAAATGTGACATTAATGTAAAACAAAACGTTTAAAATTATAAATTTTATATTTCGATTTTTACATGAGTGAATCAAAAGATTGTTTGAAAATCCAATAAAAAAGCTATCTTCATATTGCAAATAAAGTAAAGATAATTAATTAAAAATAAACCAAAAAGTAACGTTAGTAAAGAAAATTAATTACACGGATAAATGTTGGTTTTAAAAAAATGCGATTTTTTTCTCATAAAATTGTAGTTACAATAGTGAAGTACTAAAATATTTTTAATAAAAAAAAGTTGTTCAAAGGATTCGTTTCTATATGTTTTGGCTTCTTCGTTGCAGCATCATTTATATCTTTCAGAGTAGGATAATTAAGAATAAATCAATATAAGTTAATTAATAATTACTTTTAATAATATCAGAATTTTCTATAAATAGTTTAAAAAATTATATTTTCTTCTAAAACCGAATGAACCTGAAGGCTTACAGGATGATATTTCTGCTCAACGTCACTTTAAATCCTTTGAATTTCAAACATTTTAGAACTAGAATTATTTCAGAAATAATTATTTAACCTTTTTGTAAATTAATTTGTTTTTCAACTAAAAAATAATGAAAGAAATAATTAAAATAAGATAATTATTTTATTAAATATATGGTTAGTTGCAAAAATGGCGATATCTCTGCTCATATTGGTATAAAAGTTAACATGTTTGAACAGGTAGAGAAGTTTAGGTATTTAGGGTCTACGATAACTAGAAAAAAACGAAATTGAAGAAGAGATTAAGGTTAGACTGAAGGCGGGAAAGGCTTGTTATTTTTCTGTGACAAAACTACTTAGTTCGCGCCTCTTGCCCCGGAACTTAAAAATTAGAATCTATAAAACAATTATCTTGCCTATAGTTCTTTATGGATGCGAAACATGGCCGCTTACATTAACGGATGAGCAACGTCTTAAGGTTTTTGAAAATTAAGTATTGCGTAGAATATTCGGACCGAAGAAGGATGAATTAACCGGAGAGTTCAGACGGTTAAACAAAGCCGAATTGCGTGAAGCTGTATCCGGGTAATATAATTGAGATAATTTCATCGCGACGAATCAAACGGGCTTGTAAAATTGTTGGATTTAGTAACGAGAGAATACCTAAAACGTTAATATTTGCTGTACCGACTGGTAAACGTCCGAGGGATAGAACGAAGGTTTGAACGGCGAACGGTGGAGGGAGGTGTGTAATTAGCGATTGTTGCTGTCGGCATCGAACATCTGGGTTCGCTAAGCCTTTCCTTATCGAAGCGACCTCCCCACTCCTTACTAATCCGGCGGTATCGTTAATTCTCAGTCGTTGGAACTGTTACATTCCGTTCCACAGTTGGATTAGGTTCCCTTTCCCGATCCAGTTCCATTGAACCATCCCTATTCCAGAAGATTCCTTATCATCTTCATTATTGTTTACTATCAACTAGTCATCTGCCAATTATAGAGTGTAAAGGCATTTACCACAGATATTTATACCCATATTTTACATTTTTAATACTTCTTCAACATACAGTCAGGTTGGAGACATTTAGTGATAGAAGATTGTTCTTTCAGTACATTTATAAATAGAACTTACTTGTATACTTTTATAAACATATATATATTTCATGGTTAACTAATCCTGATTTCTCTTCCTTGTTGCGCAGGTACATGCAGGACACTTACCTCCTGTGGGTATGCTACGTGGTCCTCTTCTTCTGTTGCACTTACACCGCCGTGTCCTTGCCGATCGGACCCACCTCCCTCGGCCTGGAGACCAGGAGGGTCTTCCCGGAAGGAGTATGGCCGATCCTCTTCGCGCTCTTCCTGGGCTACGGGATGATGCCTCTGAGGACCTGGGTGGCGGCACTCTTCGGCGCGGCTCTTCCTCTTATCCACGTGGCGGTGTCTGCAGCCGTAGTGGACAACTTCCACCAGCTCCTCTGGCAGCAGGTATGTATCTCTCTTGTGCTTATATTTATATTAACTTCATTAGTATTTAGCTTACAGTTCCTTCACTACTGCTTCAAAGGATCTTTTTTATTTAAAGATAAATTTAAAAAGCTTCGAAAATAAAGTATTGTAAAAAATTTAAGTTGTGTTCGATTTTTAAATTTAATAAAATTTCACCGCCTGCTCCAACACTTACTAGACAAACAGTCAAAACTTTCAATCAATTACAAAATACTTGTCAACATAACTATAATAAGACCTATATGGACATACGGAGTTGAGCTTTGGGGCTCAATCAAACCATCGAATTCCTTTCGTATCCAATCCTTACAATCCAAAATCCTCCATAAAATCCTTGATGCTCCTTACTTTGTCACAAATAAAACCATTCATAAAGACCTTAATGTACCATATGTCGCTGATTTAGCTCGAGGCAGATATCTATCCTTTCATGATAAACTCCAGTCCCATCCAAATCCGCTTGTTTCCACTCTTGCTTCTTCCTCGATTCCTGATAATCCTTCTAGGGGACTGAAAAGGAGATGGCCTTGTGATCTTCTTACTTAGAATTATTTAGGGAGTGCTACCACTGGGTAGTATCTCTTCAAGCCTGATCATGTCATTACTTATAATTAGTGTATTTTTTTGCTAGTTGTATTTGTATACAGTTGTAAATTTCATTAAACAAACAAACAAAAAATAAATTAATAAAATTTCAAAATATTTTAGAATTGTTCTTTTATAAGGTTAAGTTTCTAGTTCAGGATGAACTCACATGAGTCGCGAAACTTGACCAAGGTTTCATTAGGCCGCGGGTGCTCAAGAAACATACTATTTTTCAATCCACGCTGTGTATTTATTTTATCCGCTATTCTCGTTTTTGTTATTGCCAGTGTGAATCAGCATTTTGTACTAGTAGGCCCGTGCAAAAAATTCGCAAGGGCCTACTAGTTGTATATTGTCAAGTGATCAAATGCCAAATTAAATTAGAAAATAAAATAATGCAACGTGTCATAAGATAAAGAATTCAATTGTTATAATAAAGTCGATAAATATAATCGACAAAGGAAACAAAAATTAATTTAAAACTTCATTAATTTTTGGAACCAATATGTTTACAAATTTCAATAAGCTGTACCTTAGCTAAAACTTGTCCGATTTCGATAAATTTTTTTCTTTTAGTAGAGAATTTAGTCATCTTTTATATAATCATGAATATAACCAATTGAAAAGTGCGTATTTTTTTATTTATTCGCAAATATAGTGAATAAATTTTCTGCCTGAATTTTCGGTTTGATTGTACTATTTTGCGCGCCTGATGGAGAAGAAAACCTTCAAAATGGTGGCTCAATCTTGGAAAAATTAACGATGATGTGGCTTACCGGCAAGAAACACCTTTGATAAATAATATAAACTCCTCTCTCGATCATAGAGACCTCAAGTCGACGAAATGAGAAATGTATCCAATGACAGTCCTACAATTAATGTAAGGTTGTTTGGATGCGAACCCCCATGTCTTGCGTTATCTCGAAAATAGTACGTTTTTGGGCTTAAAAACGCAGGATCCGATAGTTCCGGAGGAACTATCCGGGTCTTGCTGTACGCATCAAAATCTTCAAAGCCTAATATGTCACGTATCGGTGTACATACCTCCCACCGTTCCAGTATGGAAGCCTAGTAAAATGTTTGTATCGACTTTATTTATTTTAGAAAGAAAAACAAAAGTTGTGAATTCGATTCGCTAATCCCCCGTAAAATTAAGAATCCAACGGTACCCCATTCATGGTATTTGAGCATGCCAGGAGCTTATATTTGGTACAAAACCGATTTCGAGCCTTACTGTAATAATATATGTACGGATGTACGAATAAGGTTAGGGATTGCAATGTTCTGTTGACTGCGTTGCCATAGGAACGCGGTTTGTCTTTCTATTTCATTTTCCATTACATTTGATACCAATTTGAGCCTTCTCAATCCATCGATTTACTTCTGTTCGAGTTTTGAAACCTAATGAAATGTTTATATCGACTTCATTTATTTTTGACACAAAAATCAAGAGCGCGATTAGCTAACCAACTCTCCGTACAATTCTCAAGGTATTTGAGCATGACAGGAGTTTATTTTATTTGGCACATAACAATTTCGAAGCTTAGTGAAATGATATATGTGGGGATATAACTCTTAAAATGTTTGTGTATTGATAACATGGCTCGACAATTTTTAGGAATAAACCTGGAATAAAAAACAATAAACGAAATAACTATATAACTATTTATGTTTTACTTTCCTACCTATACTAGGTAAGGAAAGTATTGCAATCGGGTCAAATTTCCGACATGCGGTTTTCGACGGATCTATACGTTTCACAGCCCCCTGAGTCCGAAAAACACATTTTTAACCATTGGTCTGTCTGTGCCTAGATTTTCTCAGAAACTACTGAACCTATTTTGTTTATTCTTTTTTTATTTTGTAGGGTTTTGACTACTGATGCTTGTGACAGAAAATCGGTGCTCCATGCGCAATAGCTTGCGCGCAATAAATTAAAAACATGTTTTTCTGTAGACTGTAGCGCGAAATCGGCTCAAACAATTTTGATTAAACTTTCCTATAATGTTCTAATAATTGTCCTTTCAATTTGCGTATATGGACTAAATTCCCGAGAAAATTCAGGAAAAAAAGTTATAAAGAAAAGAAAAATGTCATGGGGTCTAACTCCCTAAGTATATATTATACGGTAAAATTACCAACAAAATAAAAGAAAAATCATCGGAATCGAACCAGTAATAGCGATGATACAGCTTATTATATTTTTTACACATGTTTTGATTTATTACTTTTCTACCTATACTAGGTATGGAAAGTATTGCAATCGCGTCAAATTTATGGTATTGCATGTTTTTTGAATGGTGGTGAAATTCTCTATAAAACGATTTAAAAATCGTTCCTTTTGGACAACTATTAACGAAGTTACAGCTATTCAAATTCCAATGTAAGATTATGGTTTCATATCCTGGTATCAGAAAGGGGTGAATGAGAGAATAAAGATGACTAATTAAAAGTAAGAAAATCTGTTGCCCGCATCACACAAGGTTCACTATTTCCTCTACTTTTAACAGAATTATTTTTTGACAATACTAAGCTATGGCAAAAAGTTTTTGATCGGCAATATTAGGAAGTATTGACATTTTTACACTGATCTACCTTAAGCCGGTTTACATTGCTTTAGTTTATCAAATCTCTTCTTTGATCAATTTTCAAGAAAATAAATCTTGTTCAATTTTTTTTTTTTTTTTGTTTCTTTATGAATATATGTAAAGATTTAAAAACTTTTCTGAAATAGGTAGGAAAGTCGTGCGAGTGGACACACCAGATTTTTTTTTAAATTATCCTTATGATTTTGATAACTATATACGATATCCTAGCTCCCTCTAGCAGTGAGGTTGGTAGACAATAGAACTACATAGAGGCCAAGTGGTCTTGGTTAGAGAGAGACAGTGGAGCTACTATTTATAGCTCTGACCGATCGCCTCTGACTTCAGCTTCCTGAGGTCGCTACGATAGTGTGCTATCTGTAATCGAATCTATTCAGTTCGATTAATATCGATTAGAACACAGATCATTACCACATCGATTAATTAAACAGATCCTTCAAGTAAATTTTATACAAATTAAATATAGGCTCAGTAGTCTCGAAGAAAAGCCGCAGACTGACAAACAAAATTTTATTTGATTTTCGAATTCTGCGTATCGTGAAACGTAAAAGCTCAAATTTTGAGGGAGGGAGGGTAAATATTTGATTTTTCTTTTAGACGATTGCAATGGTTCATTATTGAAAACAATAAACCAAAATTATTGCTGTACTTTTAAGGTTTAGAAACTAAAATAATCACCATCTGAAATGTGCAAGTTTCTAAAATAAGTGCTAATTCCATCAATGGAATACATTAATCGATTTAACCTAGCATAGGCAGCAATAAGCAAAATTTGTTGCTCTACAACTTTGATTTTATGGGATTTTCTATTAGGGAACTCATTTGCAAGTTACAGGGCCATTTATAGTAATTTGTCAGTTGTCAGTTTCTGACACATTTGGTAAAACTCACCGTGGTTTTATAAATTACCGCGTAACCAAATTTTAAAGTTTATATACTCGTTTGTCGCAACATTTAAGGCTCGGTCACACAGAACGCGATCCGACGTTACGTTACAATAACGCGCGATACTCACGGCGATATCTAATCCGGGGCAGTTACACAGAGGGCGTTACTTTGAAAGCGATACAGCAGCCCCGTCGCTCTGCCTAGCCTAGTCGACTAGAGAGCCTGCTTCCCGCAACTTGTATATTAATAATTTGTTTTCAATATTTTTCTTATTCATTTTTTCGAATAGAAAATAAGTGATTCTGACGAGGAGGCTCATTAGTTCAGCTCTTCAGCATAAGGTAAAAAAAAAAAAGAAAAAGGATTCATGAAATCAAAAAGCACATAGACTGATTGGTAGAATACCATCGCCTCGGCCGTCTGCTTCAATTTTACGAAGATAGATTTTTTCAATATTTCCGAATTTTATTTTTCCTTTCTTTACATTTATGTTCTTTTTTAAACATAGATTATTTTATTATGAAATTATGATTGAATGTTTTGTATATCGCAAGATTATTTCATGTTTTCAGTGTTTTTTAATCTAATTTCATTAAATGTATTTGATTTAATGACTTATTTATTGTATATATATTATTTTTCTGTTTAATTTATTTCATTTATTGTATTTATCTCTGAACATTATTATAAATGTCCTTTGAAACAGATTGTAATATTTTTCAATAAATAAGTTAAATAGAATAAAAAAATTAATGAAATTAAATACCAAGCATTTCGGCCAAAATTAAGTTGTTTCTTTTGTACTGTTTTGTTATTCTAAAGGGACTTCGTTCCACAATAAAGTTATTTTTCTATTCTATTCAAGAGGGTTTAACAATCGTGATTTTATTCATATGCTTT